AAGGGCACTACTACAGCTTAAAAAAATGTTTTAAAACCATCCCTTTCTGGAATCTCATCTCTTACTCTATGATTTAGGTGGTGGCCCTGAGATACTTTTCCCCCTAAAKTTACCTTTCATACCAGTATTTAGAAGCCAGTTTACTTGGTGAGGCTGAGGCATCCTTTTCCCTCCCTGTACAAGCCAGACCACTGAGCAGCACCAGTTTCCACAGTTGTCAGTCCACAGAGACAGCACACAAAATGTACCCTGAGTCTGGTGGTTTTGCAAGTACCCTTTGTGCAGTTCTAGCTGATAAATTAATAAAAGGTAACTCAGGTTTTCSCTGTATTTCAGATGGCATCTAAGCAAAAATGGATGTAAAAATTATAATAAAGAATGTCCTTGAAAGCCATAACACTTCTGTACAAGGCTGTGTACCATCAGAGTMTTCTCCAAAGCCCTTCTGAGCCTCTTCCAGACTGTCATTGCCATGTGACTTGCACAAAGGGGGCAAAGTAGTGCAAACACAGTTATTTAAAACATTTTCTTCTTTATAGAAGCCATCGGATTAGGTTGTTGGACTTAATCCCATGTAATGTCTCTGAAGGCCGGGCTGAGAGCAGCAGGGCTGACAGGTGCTCTGCATCGCTGCGAGCAACCGAGCACTTGGCACTTGCTCAGCCAAACTCTGTGCCCTGCTTCGACCCCTTGATTTTACAGCAGAGGTTAACAGGACCTTCAGTGGGCTTTGGTCTACCCGAATATTTTGTGTAGCTCACCACGGGTGCTAAAGGTGATCTGCAGGAAGGGGAGCTGGGTCTCCCATGATCTCCAAGGCTGGAGTTAGCGAGCTGTTGCCTCACAAATGACTGCSGGTGTTTTGCCCTCGGTGCTTCCTGCTGAGGCAGCGATGGCACGCAGCTCCTGTGACAGGAAGAAGCGATGACCCTGACAGGTACTGCTGGCCCGGTGGGTGCGTGAGGCTGCCCAGTGAATGATGTCAATACAGCAATAAACAAAGCATTTATAATGACAGTGCTGCGCTGTCCCGTGCTGCGTTCCTGAGGGGGCACTCAGCAGCCTCCGGACACCTCAGCCATGAGCGAGGGGGGTGACTAAACCCGGCCCGAGCGGCTCTGAGGCGATGGCGGTGACAGTGGGGGCCAGGATGGCGCGGGAGGGGCGCCTCACTCTCCCACTCATGGACGGAGTGAGGAAACCGGGGCAGGAAAGCACATTT